CAAACAACAACATACCCAGTGTAGTCCCACAAGTGGGGTTTAGGAAGGGTAAAGTGTACGCAGTCCTTATCCCTACCTTTAAGAAGGCAGAAAGACTATTTTCGGTAGACACCTCGATTCAGAAAAAATATAGACAAGTGCAATAAACAAATACATAAACAAACGTATATTAGCGACAGCTAAACGTTCTATGACTATATATACATAGTGAAAAGTACATAAACGTAAACAAAGAAATAAATCATCACAGTAATATGAATAGATAATATATAGATACCTTATCAAATTTGGAGATGATTTCCAAAGAACTAGCACTAGATATAATATACAGAATATCAAGAGTCAGAGGGAAAAAACTAAAAACATCCTTAAAAGTTTATTAACTACCAACTAAACGAACTAATATAATTGCTAAAATCTAGATCTAACTAATATATATACGAATAATATATAAGTCTACTAATAAAATGCCCACATGTTAGCAACCCTACTTTCCAGAAATAGTATTTGATTGACTACTACTCTCACCATTCACCAAATTCTTCATGTTATATTCTGGTAAATACATAGTAGAGTTTACCATCTCACAATTCACAAGATACTGATCAATGAACTCACCACTGCCCATTTTTTCAAGTCCCATATACTCATAATCTTGCCCTATATAGCCACCAATACATGAACTAAAGCAAGGAATATCACCAAATCCTTTGCTTTTCATGTTATCATCTTGTCCCATGAAATTGTTATTAGCCATCATAGAAGATATTGGTTCAATCTTCATAGGTGAAGGAGGGTAGTGAAATTTATCATTTGTCACAATACTTTGGTAGTCATAGGCATTAGTTGTTGACCATGGCATGTCACAAAATTCAGGCACACAACTTTGAGTGAAGTTACCAAATCTAGTGGGAACTTGTGGGTGAAATGTCGGTACGTGATTGTTGGAATGTAACGTGTCCTGGATACAGTTTATGGAGTCGTGTCTGGTAGAGTCTTGACTTGTAGCTTCGAAAGTAATATTAGCAAATTCATTGCTTAAATTTCCATCAGAGGACTCACCAATTTGCCCATCATCATTAAATTCTTGAACAGAATCATTACTATTTCCTCTTCCTGTCTTAGTTTCATATGCATCCCTAATTCTCTTTCTTTGAGTGAACATGGTGTTATCCCTATCTGATTTCTTGTAGATCCTGCACAATACCCATTCATCCAACTACAAAATTTGAAAAAAAAAAAGAGAGGAAACAATGACATAACAATGTTAATTAGGACACAAAACAAGTAGATACTGAAAATAAAAAAGAAATCAAGAACTATTAGTCAAACAAAATCAAAAGGAAAACAATAAATAATAAAGATAGACTTTAAGTTTTATGTAATGACTATATAACAGTCATTCACTATAAAAGTCAAAATTTGCTTGGAAAGATCGAAACAAACGAGCATGTTATAGAAAACTTTGACTGTAGTATCTTTTCATATCAAGCATGATATGATAAGTTAAAAAAAAAAGTAATAATCTGTTGTGGCTGATTAAATGAGTTGATGCATGTGACAATATATATAACTTAAATACAGTATAAGAGGCTCGTTTGTTCCATATTTTTGAATGCTATAGCAAATTGCTGTTATAGAAAACATATATTATAACAGAAAATTAAATTTGGTTCCGAAAAAACTTGATTTTTATGATAAAGTGTTGTTATAAGAATGGTGTTATAGAGAGGTTCGACCGTAACTCTACACAAGTACGAAAACCAAAGCATTGGAGAACTTTTAGTTAAACAACTATAGTTTCGGTTAGGACATTTTTAGATAACATTTTTGATAAACCAAATAATTAGATTAGGACAAATATAGAAAGTAAGAATAGTTACCTTCCAGTCATTAATATCTCTTTCAGCCAAATTTGGAATGTCAGGGACTCTATACTCGTGCATAATCCAATTAGTCTTTTCTCCTTTTGGAGGCTTTCCAATGTAATAAACTAAAGACTTTTTTAATCCAATTATCACATTTTTATTATCCTTGATTTGTTTATCAGCTCCAGTAGCTTTCCAATATCCATCACCAGCAGCTCTATTTGGTCGATTTCCATTTCTGTACTTACGATCTCTTGGTGTTAAGACATACCATTCTTTTTCTTCAGTACTTGGCTTAACATGTGCTGCAAAAAAGATTGAAATAACAAAGTATTTAGCTTATATATTAGCGAAGCTAGAAATTTACCAAAGAGTGTTCAAATTTGAAAGAAGTGAAAAAAATTCTTGACAAAGAGTGTTCAATATGTTTTATATACCTCTAAAACGTAATATTTTACGTATATATATGGTGTAATTTTTCGACGAAGGGTAGTCAATGGACTACCCTTACTACCATGTGGCTTCATCCCTGTGCACTAATTACGATATCAGTATAGTTTAAGCTGTTGTAATGGATCATAGATTTATTTTTTAGGTTACGCTATCAATAGATTTTAACTTGTTGTAACAGATAACAAACTTATATTTCAGGTTACTAATTCCATTTTTTTGGACGGTTACTTATAGTTATTATTTAAGTGATCTGATAAGTCTAACATCTGTATATATAAATTAAACTCATTATATTTGAACATTACACATTTACACTTCTTGTTAGAACGTTACACCTCTAGTAATTAGAATGTAGATTAACATGTCTACAAGTAATGTAACACTCAATTTTCTAAATTTTAGATGTGAGTTTAACTTTTAATATATAATATCAATGTAAAAGAATTTTATACTATCACATCACCTAAAAGATATATATAACTATATATATATATCGGTAATAATATAACTATTATCTAAAATAGGTAAAGGTATTAATTAATACAGAGGATTTTATTAACCTGAGATATTATGTAGAAAAAAACTCGATCACTTGAAACCCTATACCAATGTTAGAACCCTAAACCCTAAAGCAACTTACACCAATTCACAAAACCCTAAAACAAGATATTGAATATAATTAAACAATCACATGATCAGAATAAAACACACTGTATACCTATATACAAGAAGAAAAAACACATAAAAATCTTAAACCCTTAAACCCTAGTCATCTTAAACCAAAATATTTTTAAAAAAATGTTCCAACATGTTATTAAAAAAATTATTTTCATACATACCAGCAATCAACTCAGGGTTGTACTTATAAATGTTGATTTCATATATCCTGTTTGGATACAAAGGCAAGTTATCCAACTTCCTCTTCAAATAATACGTAACGAGCTCAGAATCAGTAGGGTTAAAACGATAACCAGGAGGGAAATTATTGATATAAGCATCAATTTCTTCAGCAGAAGTAATTTCACCATTTTTGTTATTGTTGCTAAGAACTGCAATAACTTGAAGCTCATTTATAGGCATTTGATCAGTTAAATTTCCTTTAGAAATATTAGCATTGTTTGTAGGAGGAGATGATGAGTGATGGTTTTCCATCGTATAGGGGACTCTCTCAAAGAAATTATGAAAACCCTATACCTTAGATTAGATGAAAGATGTTAATTAAAAGTCTAAGATTAGAGTTTTATAATTATAAAAAATGGGGTTTAATGTATTTCTATTAGAAAAGGAGTGGCCAGAGAGTATTTTACTTCAACAAGATAACTACTTCCTTATGTATTTCCGATAAATTTTGTTGTTGATTAGATGGAATTTGGTAGCCAAATCTAAAATCTGTTTAATTTAATGATAGATAATCAAAATACAGTTGGAATATATAGGAGTAATTAATTTGAGAATACACCCCTTATTTTTATAAATCAAACACTATTCAATTTAACCAGCTGTAAATTTTCTTCAAAACTAATAGATAAACTTGAATTCCAAATATCAAACATCATATAAGCATCCAAGAATATAAATGTGGGGTATTTTTTCGTTACATGATGTTATATATATATATATATATATATATATATATATATTCTTAAATTACTTTATCATTTAACTATAATACATTAACATAATTATGTGCATGCATAAGATTCGAGTTAGCTTTTTCAAAGAAGGGCTCACGAATATTGCCCTCCATACTTTTGTTTTGAAGGCCCTCTTTAGGAACAATTGAGATGAGTTGGTAAAAGCTACTATAATTTTCTAGGTTAGTCCCACGTAATGATGAATTAAATATTTCTTCAGATTTAACTCCAAATCAATGGATATATGACATGATATATATTTTTTAAACACACGTTTATTAATTTAATCATCCCAAAATTCACTGTAGTTGGAAGTAAGTGCTAATCAGCCAAAACAATGTCAAGGAGCTGATCTATAAGTTCAACGAAAAAGTCAATAACATATATTAAATTAAAATTAGGCATAAATAATAATAATAACAATAACAAAAAATATAATATATTTAATATGATTTCACAAGTGAGGTCTGAAGAGAGCAGAGTGTATGCAGACGTTATTCTTACTTTGTCTGAGGTAGAGAGACTGTTTCCGATAGACCTTCAGCCCAAGAAAATTATTTTCAAAATTGTAACGACTCGACCGGTCGTTTTGAGCTCTAGTGTGTTGTTCGGCGGTTTGATACCTTGAATAGCTTCACTTCATGTATTATGACTTGTACGCATAGTCGGAATTGAATTTTGGAAAGTTCAGAGTTGATTCAGAAGGAAATTCTCAATTCGGAAGCTTTAAGTTGGAAGAGTTGACTAAGGTTTTACTTTTGAGTAAATGACTTCGAAATAGGGATTTGAAGGGTCCAATAGGTTCTTATGATGATTTTGGACTTGGGCGTATGTTCGGATTGAGTATCAGGTCGCCTGGGAGCATTTCAGCGCTTATTGGGGAAAGTTGGCATTTTGAAGATTTTAGAATTTTCTATGTTTGGTTTGAAGTGAACTTTGGTGTTATCGATGCCCCTATGGGATTTCGAGCATTAGAATAGGTTCGTATCATGATTTTATGACTTGTATGTAATGTTTGGCGTCATTCTGGAATGTTTTGATATGATTCGGACGCGTTTGACGAGTTTGAATGTTTAAAAGTTGAAAGAAAGATATTGATTGTTGATTCATGATTTTTAATGTTACTCATGGAGTTTTGAGCCTTTGGATAAGTATGGATAAGGTATTGGGATTTGTTGGTGTGATCGAACGGGGTCCCTAGGGCCTTGTGTGTGATTCGAGGTGGTTTCAGACCAAGTTCGGTGTTTTGATATTGACAGTGTGCAGGTGTGCTTTGTGATCGCGAAGAAGGTTGATGAAGGGCCCCTGTTTTGCTCTCGCGAATGCGAGAAGGCTCGCACGAACGCGTAGAAGGGCCTGGCCCTACTTCGTGAACACGTAGACTTGATCGCGAATACGAAGAAGGCTGGGAGAGGGATGTTGTGAGGCAGAAAGCCTTCGCAAACGCGAGGCATGGAACACGAACGCGAATGGCAGGATCAGCTGGGCATCGCAAACGCGATCAGGTGGTCATGAACGCGTAGAGTAGCTGGGCAGCTAGGAGGAGTTTTCTTTCGCGATCGCAAGGCTTTTTCCGTGATCGTGAAGAAGAGCGGATCTGGGTAGATTTGATTTAATACAGGATTTGGCCCATATTCCTTTATTTTTACTTGGTTGGGTGATTTTTGGAGCTCTTGAAGAGGAGATTTTCATAATTTATGTCAAGGTAAGTAATTCCCACATATTGTTAGTTAACTACATAGATTCTACACAGATTTAAATATGAAAATTGGTAGAAATTGTGAGATTTTGAAAGAAACCTAGAATTTGGTATTTTTGAATTTTGACCACGAAATTAGATATGGAATTAGAATAAATTATATATTTGAATTCGTGATGTTATGGATAATGTTTATCTTCAAAAATTTTCTAAATCCGAGCATGTGGGCATGAGGGTTGACTTTGTTGACTTTTCTAGTGGAGTTGGAAATTATTATAAATTAATTAATTATGATGTTGGAGTATATTTTTATTGGTTTTCATGATTGTTTGAATAGTTTCAGATCGATGGGCATTGCTTTGGGGTGCTAGAGAGGCGTTGGAGCCGGTTATGGAACTTCGGAGTAAGGTAAGTCTCTTGTCTAACCTTGTGAAGGGGAATTTACTCTGTAGGTGTTTTGCTTATTACATGCTAAATATTACGGGAGCTACGCAGGTATGAGGTGATGAGTGTCCGAGTGTATGCTAGAATTCCTGACTATGTACGGGTCGACTTAGATTCACGTCATGCTTTAATTTTACTAATTGAGTTATTAATGGCTTTTTAATTACTTTTTTCGTATTATGACCTGAGATTAGACTCGCATAGAGTAATGGACTCGCTATTTTAGATATTTGACGAGCTACTTGATTAGCCGTGGGAAAATTGTACTTCCCTTATGAATTTCTTCCGCATTGTGCGTATCCATCGAAAAGTTTCCTTAAATTTCGTAACTCATATGTAATTCATGAGAGGGATCAAGTACCTGTTAAAGCTTCTTATTCTAATGGGATCAGGTTGTTCATCTCGGCAGGCTTATTATAATACACTCTTATGGGATCGGGTCGTTCACCTCGACAGGATATTGTAACACACTCTTATGGGATCGCGTCGTTTGCCTCGTCAGTATTACGTATCATATTCTTATGGGATCGGGTCGTTCGCCTTGGCAGAATTATTGTAATATGCCCTTATGGGATTGGACTATTCGCCTTGGCAGAATATTGTAACACACTCTTTTGGGATAGGGTCGTTCACCTCGGCATTATCACGTACATATTCTTATGGGATCAGGTCATTCACCTTAGCAGGATTACATATCATAATTTTATGGGATCGAGTCATTCACCTAGGTAGTTCTATGAAACACTCTTATGGGATCGGGCCGCTCGCCTCGGTAGAATCGTGTGAAATACTTGATACAGAGTCCACAGGCTCACGAGTTTCTTGACTTGAGATGTGGCCGTTGATTTGGTATTGACCATTACGTATTCCATTTGAGGAGGTATCCCCCCTCCCAAATAAGAACTTTATGTTTATTATTTAGCTGTAAACCATATTATTTGCCTATATTTATATTCATTAAATACGTACTATATTTTATACTTGTCTACTTTATTATATTTGATTTACTAGACTACTAGTAAGTGTCAATGTCGACCCCTCGTCATTATCTCTTTGGGGTTAGGCTAGATTCTCATTGGGTACGCGTTGATTTACGTACTCATGCTGCACTTCTGCACTTAATATGCAGGATCTGACAGGTTCATTTGGTGGTCACTTGGGCGCGTAGGCGCAACTGCCGAGGGAAGTTTATGGTGAGCTGCATTCCTTGCTACGATTCACAGTATACAAAGTCTCCATCATAATTATTTATTTTATCCTGTCTATCTTGTACTCCAGACAGATGTATTGTTATTGTACTTTCGAATAGATGCCCATGCACTTGTTACACTGGATTGGGTTCCTAGTGGATGTTCATTATTGTAGTTCACGTTATTAGTATCATTCATTTTTTGATTTATATTCGGAATGTGGTAAAGAAAAGTACATGTCTCTATGAGTGCCAGATTTTATTCTATTTATTTAATGAAATTCCCGATTTTAAAAATTAAAAGGGATAATTATTTAGATAGTTCATCGTTTGCTTGCCTAACGGCAACGTTGGGTGCCATCACAAGCTATAATAGATTTGTGTCGTGACAAAAATATATTTGAAAAATATAAAAGTAAAGAAGTTATGATAAAAATACTGAAGAAAAGAAAAGTATTATGATGTTGAGCATATTTCTATATGTTTTGATATTACTTTACCCATGTTTTAACCGCTTTTTGTAGCTATTTGGTGTAAAAAATGCCCAACATGGTTTAATTATTAGTTTTATGACTAATTGAGTTGTATATGATGAATTAGGGTATTTGGAGTGCAAAAATATGAAGAAAAAATGCTCTAGCTAGAGGAGGAGAGGTTAGATGCGTCGCATCTAACCTAGAAAAAAAATCATACTTGTGCACGCTTAGCAGTGAACTCGGCCCATAGCATCCCCATAGCATACGCACTTGGGCAAAGCTGAAATGGAGGAAGCGAAGCATCCACCCTAGCATGCGAAGCTGAGAAGCGGAGGACGAGGTGGATACGAAGCATCCACCCCAACATCAATCCATGAATCTGAGTCGGACTAGGAATAGGAGAACTTTGGCCCACGAATTTTGTACGCAATATATAAGCCAAAAATACATCTTTTAGGTCATCTAACACACTTTTTGAAGGGAATTCGACCTAGGGAGAGCACAGAGCCGCCGTGGAGGCGGAGTTTCATCTTTTCTTCCACCAAACTTTGTAATTTTTATGTTTCTTTGTATGATTTGTTGTTTTGCTACCATGTCTATGTGGAGCTAAACTTCACGTTAAACTTCACGTTCTAGGGTTGTGGTTCTTTCATGACTATTGTTATTCGGATATTGATTTTAATTTCTTAGTTTATTATATTTGTTTGTTT